AAAACGATAATAAATTTTCTGGTTTTTTTTTTTTCTTTTCAATCTCAGTTTTTTTTAATTTTTCTTGCAATTTTGTCTTTTCTTTCCTTTCACTATTTTTACGCTTATTCGTTACTCTCAAATTAACATAATACTAAGTGAAGAATATCGAATAGCGTAAGCAATAATAAATATTTTCACTCTTTATAATTTATTTATTTATTTATTTATTTACTTATTTGTATTCTTTTTTTTTCTTTTTTTTTTTGTGCAAGCAAAGAACGTTTATTATAATAAAACTTTACTGCTTCAATCTTTTCTAATACTGCATTTCCTCGTCAAAATCTGGCGCCCTGCTCGTTCACCTATCTCCAATGCTCTTTTCCTTCCTGCCTGATATAAAAAGCAAACATTTCACATCTATAGTTGATAGTTGAGAGCTCAGTGAGGAATAATGACATTGTCAACACAAATTGTATGAAAACATTTATCCATAACAAAGCAGTCATACAATTATTACTTGAAATCAGCTTTATGCCTCTCTTCATATATACATGCATTCTGTTTGTTTATATGTGTATCTGTGTGTGTGTGTATCTATATATATATATATATGTGTGTGTGTGTGCATGTTTATGTCTATTTGTTTTTTCATTGTATTTGCCCCATTCTCACCACAATTCCTGCCGCAGCAGTAGCAATGCTGCGACTTTGGCTTTCCTGGCAATGCTAGCAATTCAGCGACCAAAGAATTGCAACATCCTGTCTTATATACATACATGCTCACATATATATATATACATGTAAATACCCAAAAGAAAACATAACTTGAACGCTTTCGCCTTTATACAGGTATGTTTGTGTGCATATATATATGCGTGTGTGAGAATGTTTTCATGACCCACATTTCACCTTAAATAAAAAACGAATATCTATCGCAGGGAAAATAAACATTGAAATATTATTGAATATTTATTGTCTTTCCACACACATACACGCACACATTACACCTCACCTTACCCCACCCTCGCTCATTCATGTTCATTCTTATCATGCCATGATATTCACAGATATTTAACGTATAACTAGACTATATATCGTGGATCTAGTGTAGAACTTGATTTAATAATCGCCCAATTTAGGGGAGAGTCTATAAATTTAAACTCGAACGGATAACATTCACTTTAAATGGCTACAAAACATAGCGTACCGTAGAAAGATAATAAATTGGCAGTGTGGTCGGTCGACTCTATTTTCTGAATGATGACTTACTTCAATGAATGTATAAAATTTTACGCAACGCTATAAACGCTACTACGCTACAATAAAACTTACAATATGAATGAAATATAAGTACATTTTTTCGAATGTTTTCTTCAATATATTTAGATGCTTAAACTTGTACGACATGAGTTATGGTCGCTTTCAAAAAAAAAAAAAAGAGAAAAAAAAGAGCGATGCACATGCTAATATATGTGTATGTATTCTCGCTTACAATATATGCAGATTTTTTTCTTTTTTTGCCTTTTCTATGATATCGTACAAGTCTTCTCGTCGATGATATGAATTTTTCATCGAATTTAACAGACACGATATATTTATGAGCAAGATTTATGTCT